CCCCAGCCTGGAGCTGCAGGGGGTTGCGGTGTCCCACGGTCAGACACTTCCCCATGGCTAAACACCAGCCACTCATGGGAGCAGCAGTCCTGACTCTCAGACACAAGCTCAGCTCCTTTTCTGGCATTTCCCTGAAGCTGCTGTCCCTTCTCCTCGTGCTGTAGGTCACAGATGCCCCCCAGCAAGAAGTGGCCATCGCTGCGTGGCGGACAACGCCAACCTGTACGTGTTTGGAGGCTACAACCCTGACTACGACGAGTCCGGTGGGCCAGAGAATGAAGACTACCCCCTCTTCAGGGAGCTCTGGAGGTACAACTTTGCTACAGACACCTGGCATCAAATGAGCACTGAAGGCTACATGCCCAGGGAACTGGCCTCCATGTCACGTACGTATGGAAATCCCATCCCTGTGCCTCTGCTCCTGAAGCTATTTTAATCAGTGGCCCCCATGGAATGCAAAACCAGGCAGGAACTGGGAAATCTGGATCCTTTTTCCAGCTCTTCTGCAAGCAGGCCTGGAGTTTGGGTCGGGGCTGTGATTTTTTCCTTCTGCTCAGGCTGAGGCAGAGGGGAAGGAAACTTTAAAATGCAAGAGGTATTCTTCAGGTTTTTAGCTTGATGGTTGTAAGTCACCTGCTCTTCCAGCAGCGTGGTGCTGGGTGCAGGCAGGCCTCTCAAAGCACCCAAAAATAGACCTCTTTGTTCACCAGCCATTTTGAAAAGCAAGCCTTTTGGTTACCATGGATTTTAGGTCTCATTCTCTCTCTTTTAGAGCATTTCAAAGCTCTAAAACGCATCCTGTGAGCGGTAGAATACCTGAAGCACACTGAAGATCCCTCCCTGCCTGCAGAGCAGGGGGTCGTGGTGCTGGGAGAGGGGCAGCTGAAGGTGTCTCTGCTCTCTCTGCCCCTCCCAGTCGTGCTGCACGGGAACAACCTGCTGGTGTTCGGGGGCACGGGGATCCCCTTCGGGGAGAGCAACGGCAACGACGTCCACGTCTGCAACGTCAAGTACAAGCGCTGGGCCCTGCTCAGCTGCAGGGGCAAGAAGCCCAACCGCATCTACGGGCAGGTGGGGACAGAGCAGAGACCCCCCCCGGGGAGAGAATGTGCTGCCAGGGGGAGGAGAGGCTGCGGGGGG